CTTGTTTTCTTACTGACTTACATTGTAGGAAGTCGTTCATGGTCCCGGGAACAATGTTGGTGAATGTGACTGTGGAAATCAACAGACATGAACAGTGTGATTCTCATGATCCTGCATTCCTTCCTAAGACATTTCTAATATGATGTTCTCCATGATATGAGATGATGATGGACCCCCATCACAGACCATTTTGAGATTGCACTTTTATGAAGTGCAGGAACGCAGCTCTTTCCCCTCTAAGCCAGATGGGAATCCGCATCTTTAATTACCGGCTGATGCTAGCCAAATCAGAACGAGAACCTATCGCTCACATGTCATTTTTGCTCAACCATCTGGAGCATTTTGGGCTGAGAATCAACTCAGCCAAGAGTTTTCTGACTCCCAGACAGCGAGTGTGCTTTCTGGGAACAGTTATAGACTCAGTTCAAATGCAAGCCCGAATTATGCCAGAATGCTCCCTGAACATTCAGCGAATTGCGGCATCATTCAAGTTGGGGACTATGTGTCCCCCTCAGGGTGTTTTAGAGGTTGCTTGGCCTAATAGTGGCTGCCTCCTTATTGATTCTCCTGGGCCTGCTACACATGTGGCCCCTCCAATATTGGCTCAAAACTCGTGTTCTGTCCGATGCTGGTTGCTTGGTGTTATATCATGGTAACTCATTGCTGTGTCAGAACTGTGGCCCCCTGGACAACTCTTCACCTGTTTTTATCAGGTGTGCAGTTGGGAGTGACGTCCAGAAGGAAGTTAGCCACAACGGACACCTCCGGTTCGCGCTCTGTACGCGGGCAACCTGACGTACGGCTCCTTGTGCTGGCCCAACACCCATTTGTATGCCTTCCCTCCAACCACCCTGCTTCCTCACATTATCAGGCAGGTCAAAATGATCAAAATGCTCACTTCTCCTAGTGGAGGAGAACCAAACCTGGCTCACAGAGCTGATTTGGCTGCTGTCTGCAGCCCCATGGCCAATACCATTGAGGAGTGACATTCTCTCGCAAGCAAAGGGCAAGATTTGGCATCCCTTTTTGGCCATGTTTGACCCCTCGATGGGAGTTGTTAGACAAAGGCCGTACCACTTCCACACTCAAGGTTTATGTGTCAGCCATCACGTCGAATCATTCTCTCGTGGCTGACCGCTCTTCAGCAGAAACAACCTGGTCATTAAGTTTCTAAGGGAAGCTCAGAGACTGAACCCACCTTGCCCTAGAACTGTGCCGACATGGGACTTGTCTATAGTCATCCTTTTGAGCTGCTTCAAACGTCTGGCTTGCGGCCCATGTCAATCATAACTGCTCTGCTCTTGGCCTTGGCATTGGTCAAATGAGTAGGTGACTTGTAAGTGCTGTCAGCACATCCTGTTGGGGCCTAACGACTGTAAAGTCGTTCTGCAACCGCAATGTGGTTACGTACCTAAGGTGCTCTCAACTCCATTCAGAGCCCAGGTTATTTCCCTGTTAGCTCTCCCTATGGCGGACGGCGAGCAGGGTCCCAACTTGCTGTGGCCTGTTCAAACAATCAGAGAAGCTCTTTTTGTGCTTTGGAGGCCTCTTTAAGGGGCTGCCAGTCACAAAGCAAAGACTGGATAATAGATGCTATAGCCCTGGCTTATGCCGCAGTTGGCTTGTAATGCCCTATAGCTGTGAGGGCCCATTCCACCAGAGAAATGGCCTCCTCCTGGGCGTGGTAGAGTGGGATTTCTATCAGGGAGATTTGTTTGGCCGCCGGATGGTCATCGCCATCTACCTTCATTGGATTTGACAATTTAGATGTCCCCGCTATGCAGGCGCGGATCCTTTCTGCCTAAATCTACCCCTTTCCATGCTGAGTGGAACGGCTTTCTTAACTAGACCTCAGATTATTGACTTTGGTCTCTTCTATAGCTCAGGCTTACAGAGCCCTCTGGCAAGTGCTCCTGAGTTGGGCTTGTGGAGCAGGCTAAGTTCTGCTTCTTCTCATAGCACGGTGCTCCTGGACAGCATCAATAAGCTGACTTAACAGGAGTTCCTATTCGATAGGGAACGCTCTGGTTACTGACATAACCTCAGTTCCCTGAGATAAGGGAACGAGCATTGCGTGACGTGCTATAAGCTGCATGCGAATCGTTGACTGTCGCTTCAGTCGAATGATTCTGATGAGATGGTGCTTGGGCCGACTTATATAGTAGTTGGCTCCACCCGTTCTTGCGGGTTTGAGTGCCACTGGTTTGTGCAGCTACACAAATGTTAACAAATCAGGCTTCAGTATCAGAGTAAACAGGAGTTTCCCCATAGCGTCAATAAACTGACGCAATGCTTGTTCCCTTATCTCAGGGAACTAAGGTTACGTTAGTAACTGGAGCCTTTTCTTTTTGATTTTGTGAAAGAACCAATAAAACCATGGTAATAAGGAATATGGTTTTTGCTTGATTCATGATCTTACTAATACTACAGTTAATATAATTCCTGACAGTAGCATTCCATTAGTGCAACTACAAAGGAGATTTTAACAGTTCTAATCATTTTTAATTCAATAATTAAGAGCCTGCAATATAGCCTTTATTTATTTATAAATAATTAGTTGTTTCCAATTGCCCTAACCACAGCAAATTATTAGGGCCTCATGGCCTAATGGTTAAAGAGTTGGACTTGTAACCTGAAGGCTGTGGGTTCAAGTCTCAGGTCTGACAGGAATTGTCGGTGGGTGGAGTGAACTCTCTTCTACCTTCAATAGCATGACTGAGATGAAAGGACTGAGGTTATGGTTATAACATACCCATGAAATATTTAGATATAATATTTATATTTTAAAAACCAAAACTAAATATTCCTCTGGCAGAAAACATTGTGGCACCAAGATAGGCTACTAGGAAGAGGGCCCTTGGGTTTGCTATAGCCCAAAGGCCCAAAGTTTCTTAATCTGCATCTGATGTTGGTGAATGTGACTGTGGAAATCAATAGACATGAACAGTGTGATTCTCATGATCCTGCATCCATTCCTAAGGCATTTCTAATATGATGTTCTCCATGATATGAGATGATGATGGACTGGTTTCTGAGAGCAGATGAATCTCCAGGACTTTACCTCTGTCTGTGATCTTCTTGAGCTCCTCTTTGCAGAAATCCTCCAGTTTGTCTCTCAGCTGATGGACAGATTCTCTCAGAGCATCAGAAGAGAAGAGAGAACTGAAGAGATCATCATTTACGTCTGTAGATTCAGGAGGTGCTGAGAGAGACTGGAAACTCTACAGAAAACAGAAGTCAAAACTCATCAGCTCCACACGTCACCCAATAACCTGCAGGAACATCAGATTTGTTGTTCTTGTTGACTTGACTGATCTTTAGTAACTCACCTCAATCCAGCACTTTCACAGCATCAGCTTCATTCTTCTCATATTCATTATATGACATTAGAGCTACAGATTCTAGTATTTGACACTTA